CTAATTTTTGGCGAGTAGGCGTCTTGGACGTTGTTCTTTCGGAATATCTTAACAAATCCCATAATTTCACAAATTTCATTTTCTATGACGTCACACTTCGATACTCTATACCGTATAGTGTGAAGACAGCCTGAGATGTCTGCAATGGACAATGAGGGCATCGTGGTTCAGTGATTTTAAGTCACAGGTGTCTTCAGGACCAAAAAAGACACAATTTGGACAAATATATGACATCATTCTCACAATATAAGGGCATGATCCCTACAAGTTACATAAATGGATTCAACCGCATTTTATTCACGAGACAGAGATATAGTCATTTATTCCACTTCATACTAATGAGATTCCACTACAAAAAAGCGACCTGACCTGTGCACCCCATACTACTCTCCTTAAAAATGTCAAAAAAAAAAGAAGAAGGGCAGAGACCAACACTTTTAGAGAGGTGGAGTAGGTTTAGGAGGTTTTAGGGAGGTGTCCGTTACACGTGTAAGAGAGGGGAAAGAGAGGGGAAGGGATGTTCACTATTAAATTGTTTACTATCATGTGACGGGCCATGCGCGTATACTGCAAATATGTCCACTCTGAAAATAATAAAAAAGAAAAAGGCACTTACCAGCTTAGGGTTTTCCCGAAGTTGTTGAACAATAGTTCGGCGTAACTCATTATGGGAGATTTTGATTCCTTTGATGAGGTCAAGCTGTTCTGAAAGTGCAAAGAACATGCAGTTTCCCCCTCCTCGATTGTCAGAAATCGCAAAACCTTTTTCCAACGCAGTCCTCTTCAAAGCCTGCGACAGCTCAGTTTTGCTGGACTCTATGCGTGCTTCCCGTATAATTTGTTGAAGTACAATAAAAAAGGGTTCGCCTGTTAACGGAAGATAAAAAAAAAACTTAACATAAGATAGAGGCTATTTCATGCCAGTTTAATAGGAGATGGTGCACTGGTCTGAAGCTCAAAACAGCAGGCAATTTAATTAAAAATTACTGTGGTCTCCAAAGAACTAAATAATCTCACTCTACGGCAAAAATATATTTTGGCTTTGGTTTGATTGACGAAGCAAACAAAGACATTACCTGCCATCGGTCCTGTTGCAGCATCCTTTTCACAGTCATTCTGTGGAACGTCGTCTTCTTGGTTTTTCTCAACACCTGTAAAGTTTAAAATTAGCAGTGAATTTAAATGGTTTGGCCTGTAATCAGGAGAGGGAAACAGATAGTTTACGTCAGTTTACTTGGAGATGCACCCCAATAATCGAAAGTACCCTGGTTCAACAGAAGAAAATAACCTCACTCCACTGCAAAACTAAATTTTGTCTTTGGTTCAACTGACAAAGCAAACAATGACATTACCTGCTATCGGTTCTGTTGAAGTGTCCTTTTCACAGTCGTTCCGTGAAACGTCATCGTCTTTGGTTTTTCCAAGACCTGTAAAGTTAAAAAAAGCGATGATTTACAGAAAAAAAATGTCACTCTCAAAAAAAAAAAAAGATTTCAACCTCAGAAGCCCCCCTTTCATTTCTTGTGACAAATTATCAGCCAAAAGTTTGGCTGGGCTTTTTTTGGTATTTTCTTTTTATATACAAGAGAACAGCACCATTGCTACTGCATATGAATAGAAATCAAATGACTTTGATGTATCGCAATGTTATAGATTTTAACTTTCTTTTATCGTTAACTCTTTCAAGTGTAGCCAACATATTATAAAATTATACATAAACGTTTTAACGAATGGAATTGATCAGCCGGTGAAAAAGATCTTGATTATTAAACAAATTCTCCTAATCAGTAACACAAGATCTGTATGGAGAACAGGGTGGAGAGTGTGAACGCTAACATTAAGGTTAAAAAGGTTAACGACAATATTTCTTCAGCGATGCACATGGACCACGAAACATAATGTAGTAAAAATGTATTTATGCACTCGCTATTGCAGAAGCCATGGACATACAGCGATGAATGATGAAGGTCAAATGAAGGATAATCCTGATAAGATATCCATTTTAACATTTACAAGTACTAATTATTATTATTATTGTTACTTTCCTATCGGTAAATTTGATTTCTTACCATAGACCATCTTCCACATCCTGTCAACAAGGGCCTGGCACTGTCCCTCCCAACTAAATCTCTCATCATAACTTCTTCGCAGTCTTTGGATTTCCTCAAGCCGCTGCGCCCTTGATTTTTGACGGATGGCTGCAATTGCCTTTGCCCATTCCTTGGGGTCATCAGAGTCAATCACAAATGACTCACCCATTGGAAGACCACGCAGTGCTTTTCCAAATCCAGAGTTTCCACTTACCAAAA